TTCTGAACAGGAATGAGATATGTACAGTTTTTATACCAAATAATTTATCGATTTATATTATGATGATAAGTAAGCCAGTGCCTTGAATACTCTGCTACTTTTTTAATGAATAAACTTATTAATACTCTGAAGTTCACTGGAGTTTCAAAAATCTAAGTACTTTAAAAAACAAATGAATTAAACTCATAGCCAGAGAAACTTAAAATTAATCACTAGGTGATAAAGATATGGTACTATACAGCTACTTATTTTATTAAAGGGAGTGATAAATTTCACGCTTCCTTTTTTTATGTTCTCATAGGTACGGTAAACTACATGTGGAGAACCAGATTTTGTGCCCTATTCTTTATTTTTTATTAATTTTTTAAAAAATTACAGTCTTTAGTGTTTAGTAAACAACATGTTGTCCGGGTTCAAATATTTAACTTTAACTTCTTCAATATAAATCTGTTCAATACTACACAATTCAGTATTTTTTCCCTCATCCTCTTTTCTTCTTCATATTTTTTTCATTTTCTCCTCATTACATTACAATTTTTGGTACTGTTAATGTATACAAAGTTAGATAAGCATCCTCATCATATTTTACTAATATCATACAAATAACAATAATATCAATTCATAAAACAATAGTCAATTCATTAATCAATATCCTGTTTTTCGTACTCTTGTTAGGGTTTGATTTCCCATCAGCATTTGAAATATCTTTATCAGTTATGATTTTCTCAATATTAATTACATTTATATAGCTAAAAGTTTTATTCAAATCAATCCTCCTCTTATCTTCATATTTCCCATATCAAAAAGAAAAAAAAAGAAAAAAATGCTATCTTAATTCTAAGTCATATCTTTCACTATAAAAGTCTAATTATATCTAAGGGTCATCTATATTTAAACATATAATGCCCCCTCTAACAGGTCAAATCTTCTGTTTTTAAAATATGATTCTTTCTTTCTTTCTTTCTTTCTTTCTTTCTTTCTTTCTTTCTTTCTTTCTTTCTTTCTTTCTTTCTTTCTTTGCAAAGTCGCTTTCCAAGCCAGGGCAATTAGATCGCCCAGGAATTTTTTTTCTATTTTTGTAAAAATTGTTTGGCACGAGGAAGACAATTCAGGTAGGGTATTGGGTGTGGGGGATGGGAATTCCGCCCATTTATATTCCTTAAACAACTCCCAGTTCCTTTCTCCCTCCATTTTGCAGAACTAAGGGGTAAAATGTCTTTTGCTTCTTCATTGTTATAGTCATTGTTATAGTCTTGCAGTATTTTGTTTGTATATAGTTGTTTATATTTCCCTTCTTTTATCTCTAACTCCATTTCCTCTGTTTCGTCTTCTGATTTCTGAAATATTTGTTCATACTTTGTAGTCATTATCTGGGAACTTTCTAATTGTAGATTTAATTTGGAGATTTGCTCGTTTATATTGTCTAAATTGTTTTTAGTCTCATGATGATTTCTTTTTTGTCCTCTTTGCATTCAACAATTGTTTGGTGAATTAGTTGTAGCATAGAATATATTTCTTTCTGAAAGGTGTTTAGTTTTTTTTTTTGAGGAATCATTCCTGGAGATCCTCTAGTATCACTAGACTCAGTAACAGTAAATTAAAGTTTCCTCTACTTTTCTGGTCATTATATGTATCCTTTATAATCCAATAGATTCCAAAGGATAGATTTAGTTCTGAAAGCAATATTTTATAGTAATCCTTTGTCTCAAGTATCCAAAAATTGTCAATCAGGCAAGGTTGTAATCCACAGTGTTCGAAGTGTTCAAAATGTTCAACCTCTCTGGAAACAGCATAAAAGTCTCTCCCAGCCAGGCATAGTCCAAGGTCAAATTTTTCTTTCTCTCCCACTAGCTCTTGAAGTTAAAAGTCCAAACTCAGTAGGTATTTATAATCCAAGAAGGTCAGGGTGATAAGAATGCCAAAATATTTTCCTTTATTGCCAGCTGTTCTCCCACACTAGGAATCATCAAGCAGCCGGGAAGCAAATTATAATGCTATACAAACATCCACCACTAGATGTCATTCAAAGTCCATTTTCCACTCTTAAAACAAAGGATTGATTTCTTCTTGCAGCCTTTCCCAGGAAATTCAGTTGTAAAATAGTAAAGAAAGGATCAATATTCTCACCCAGTTCCAAATATGCTGTTTACAATGTATCAAGTAGTGTTTTTTTCTCCTTTGGTTGTGAGCAGCTAATGGCCGGGCACAGGAATGTAGCATGACTTTCCCCTGCCGGTTTGGAGGGCTTTCCTTGGATCGAACGGAGAGACCGCTGTCTCTCCGTGATCAACAACACACCCCTCCTCTTCATCGCCTCTTTGGGGCAATTTTAGGCCCTTTTTAGGGCCCCCAGCAGGGTGAAATAGGGTGCGGAAGGCAGAGCCCTGCCTTCCTGCATCCCATCTCATTGCAACCAAACTGGAAGTCTCTTGTGCACTATTCTTTAAAACAGGGCTTTTCAACCAGTGGTATGGGTACCACCTGTGGTACATTGGCACCTAGCAGGTGGTACACGACCATCCTAGAAAAGTGGTAGCGGGGAGGGGAATGAGCTGAATTGGTGGCAGCACCGTACAAGCCTGAGCGAGAGATGGCTGGAGCTGCAGGGGTGTCCGGGCTCAGCGGAAGCGCCAGGATCAGCGCCAGGCTCCAGCTGGAGCTTGGTGCTGATCCTGGTGCTTCTGCTAAGCCCTGAAGAAGTACCAATCAGCTGGAAAGCAGCACTGATCCTGGCGCTTCTGCTGAGCCCAGAAGAAGCGCCGATCAGCTGGAATGTTGCAGCATCTCCAGGGTCTTATGATTTACATTCAGATGCTTGGCAACTGATTCATATTTATGGCGGTCACAGTGTCCCAGGGTCATGTGAAGTGACCAAAACCTGCTGCAATCACCCAGCAGACAGGGGGAATAAAAAACAAACACCCCCACCCTACCTCTGCTGCCAATCCTCAACAGAAATGCTCACAAAAATGAAAACCTCGGACAGAAGGAACAACACGGCTGGGCAGGCAGGCAGGTGTCTTGCTCGGCTGTGCCTTGGGGGGCACTTTTTTCAGTGCCATTGTAACTTCGAACAGTCACTAAGCAAACTGTTGTAAGTCGAGTACTACCTGTACTTTATCACTTTTTTCCTTTTTTTTTTGGGTCATCACCTTGCTAGGCAATTGGTGGTACTCGGATGTTGCCATATCCTAAAAGTGGTACAATGGGTGAAAAGGTTGAAAAGCCCTGCTTTAAAGACCTTATTAGGATCACAAATCTCACTCCAAAATATTAAGTTTTAAAATTAAGTGGATTTCCAAAAGCAAAGTAACAGCAAAACATAAAATACAGGTAGTCTTCGACTTACAACAGTTCACTTAGTGACCTTTCAAAGTTACAACCGCACTGAAAAAAGTGACTTATGACCATTTTTCACACTTATGACTGTTCAGCATCCCCATGGTCATGTGATTTACATTCAGATGCTTGATAACTGGCTCACATTTATGATGGTTATAGTGTCCCAGAGTCATGTGATCCCCTTTTGCAGCATTCTGACAAGCAAAATCAATGGGGAAACCAGATTCACTTAGGAACTGTGTTAATAATTTAACAACTGCAGTGATTTACTTAACAAATGTGGCAAGAAAAGTTGTAAAATGGGGCAAAACTCATTTAAATTTTTTTTATAAATGTTGAGCTCATAATAAATGTTGGGCTCAATTATGGTCATAACCTGAGGATACCTGTACATCCATACTACAAATCTCTTCTATTAATCAATCTGTTTTTAATCACTTAATATCAAATTCATTCTGAAAATGTATTGGTAAACTCAATTTATGATTTCATAGAACCAGATTTTATGAAAATATATAAAACAAGCCAAGGGACGGCATGCTTAATTAACTTGTAAAATGAATTATCTTAAAGATTTCATTTTAGAAAAAATACAGCAAAAGTAAGTACTAAATCACATTTTGTACTCAACCTTGTGCTCTCCACATATGTTGGACTGCCATTCCAGAATTTTTAGGCACTAAATTGGGGAGGTAGCTAATAAGTGAAAACAAAAGGATTTCTTTCCTTTGTTTTCTATTCTAAATAGTCTCAGAACTCTTTAAATCTATTCCATGATTACTTTTCAACTGATTCGCAATACTCAGGGTAGACTTAACTTATATTGAAATTCAAACTATTGAGGCTTTTTGTGCAAGGTTAGCTACATAGCTATAATTCCTAGAAAACATAATCTGCATTGTGGTTACATGCAACTCAATCACTGTCTGCATCTATCATTTGCAACTGCTTGTAATCCATTTCAAATTCATTTTATTTTGTATATATGTAGCTGTTACTTATTTTACATAATGTAACAGGAAGAAAAACATTTTCTAAATATCTTGCTTTTAACAAAGGAACGAGAGTGGTAATTTTACTGTTTCACTATTCACTTAAGTACACAGAGATCATAATTTTCACAATGCAACAATATAACATACACAGGTAGTCCTCAAGTTATGACAGCAATTGGGACCAGAATTTCCAAGCAATGTGATCATAAAATGTGACATCATGTGATCTCGATGCTTTGCAATGGCAATCCCAGCAGTCCCCATTGCTGTTATTAAATGAATCCCACTGGTCATTAGGCAAGGACCAACCCAATCCAGAACATTCCCATATTGCTCCCTCCCAGCCCTGACCCTCACTAAGGTAAATGCTTCCTTTTCAACTCCCCCAACCTGTCTATTTCCTGTCATGTCTGCCCTTTTGGTTATCCTACACTCCACTGCCTCTGCGGGCACTGTGCTCTGCCAGCGCTGCTAACCCCAACGGATCTTCATCCTCTTTTTCCTCCCTCAGGTGACTATAGTAGGTGTGCTGGCCTGGCCTTTCATGAGACAGTAGCTGGCCACTTTTAAAACTATCATTCTGCCACTTAATAATTTGGGATCTTTATCATATATCCTTTATTGTAGTTTCCTAGTGATAAGATGAATTATTAGTTTTCTTACCATTTCCTTGTTTCTTGGTTGGATACAGGTATGCATCTCAGGCCAGCGCCTACCACCATTAGAAAGGATGTTAGCAACACAGTTTCTCTGAGGCCTGCAGGGGGAAAAAATAGACACTGCTTTAGTAAAACATATCAATTCAGGAACTGGAAAGTTCAAATTAATCAAATACAATGCTGTTAATAAAGTCCCAAAGATTAAGATAATAAAAACAGAGTGTTTCATCATAATTAAAGCCAAAATATTGCTGGACCTTATTTCACTGTTGCCAAGCAAGAAGGCATGAGGGAAATAGTTTTATACTTTTGTTATCTTCAGCAACTGGTGGTTAGAGACTTATAGTTTCCAGTTCTGAAAGTATTATCAACATGGTTTGTAGCCTCATTGAGCTTCATCCACTATATATTTTGACTATTTTCCTTTCAAAGCAGTGAAGACTACTGATCATGTTTGTATTGCTGAATTCTACAGCAGAATTACATTCTGCACAAATAATGTTGGAAAGATATGCATGCAGCTGGAACTCTAGAAGATACACAGAACTACTGGAGTATAAACTCACATTGCATTCCTTAAGAAAGTAAGAATAGCTCTGTTGAATCAAGTCATCGTCTATTTTAAACCAGCACTAGGTTTCCCATAATGGCCAGCCAGATGCCTTTGGAAAGCATACAAGCCGAACATGAAGGCATACTTAATAATAATAATAATAGTAGTAAAGTTGGAAGGGACCTTGGAGGTCATCTAGTCCAACCCCCTGCTCGGGCAGGAAACCCTACACCATTTCGGACAAGTGGCTGTCCAGTCTCTTCTTAAAAACTTCCAGTGTTGGAGCATTTACTGCTTCTGGAGGCAGGCTGTTCCACTGATTAATTGTTCTCACTGTCAGGAAGTTTCTCCTTAGTTCTAGGTTGCTTCTCTCCTTGATTAGTTTCCACCAGTTGCTTCTTGTCCTGCCTTCAGGTGCTTTGGAAAATAGCTTAATTCCCTCTTCTTTATGGCAGCCCCTGAGATATTGGAATACTGCTATAATGTCCCCCCTTGTCCTTCTCTTCGTTAAACTAGACATACCCAATTCTAGCAACCGTTCCTTATATGTTTTAGCCTCCAGTCCCCTAATCATCTTTGTTGCTCTTCTCTGTACTCTTTCTAGAGTCTCAACATCTTTTTTACATCGTGGTGACCAAAACTGGATGCAGTATTCCAAGTGTGGCCTTACCAAGGCATTGAAGAGTGGTATTAATACTTCACGTGATCTTGATTCTATCCCTCTGTTAATGCAGCCTAGCACTGTGTTGGCCTTTTTGGCAGCTGCAGCACACTGCTGGCTCATATTTAGGTGATTGTCTACTAGGACTCCGAGGTCCCTCTCACAGTTACTACTATTGAGCATGGTGCCACCTATGCTGTACTTGTGCATTTGGTTTTTCTTGCCTAAATGTAGAACCTTGCTTTTTTTACCATTGAATTTCATTTTGTTAGTTAGTGCCCAGTGTTCAAGTCTGTCCAGATCTTTCTGTATCTGAAGCCTGTCTTCTGGAGTGTTGGCTATTCCTGCCAGCTTGGTGTCGTCTGCAAATTTGATGAGTTCCCCATCTATCCCTTCATCCAAATCGTTGATGAAGATGTTGAAGAGTACTGGGCCCAGAACAGAGCCCTGGGGCACCCCACTACACACTTCCCTCCATATAGATGCATTTCCATTGAGGACCACTCGCTGAGTACGGCCGGTCAGCCAGCTACGGATCCATCTGGTGGTGGTTCTGTCTACCCCACATTTTTCTATCTTGTCAAGTAGTAGGTTTTGATCTACTTTATCAAATGCCTTACTGAAGTCCAAGTAAATTATGTCCACAGCATTCCTCTGATCCACTAATTTTGTCACTTGGTCAAAGAATGCAATAAGATTTGTCTGGCATGATCTATTTTTGACAAACCCATGTTGGCTTTTAGTAATGACTTTGTTTGCCTCTAGGTGTTCGTTGATTCGTTGTTTGATTATCTTTTCCAGGATCTTCCCAGGTATTGAGGTCAGGCTGATAGGTCTGTAATTTCCTGGATCCATTTTTTTTCCTTTTTTGAGGATGGGAACTACATCAGCTCTTTTCCAGTCCTCTGGTAGTTCCCCTGTGTTCCAGGATCTTTGAAAAATATAGTTCAGTGGCTCCAATATCACATCTGCCAGTTCCTTGAGAACTCTGGGGAACTCTCTTTAACCACCAGCCATTCTTCTCCTGATATTGGTAGTTGAAGGAATCCTGCCGCCTATTTCGTGGTATCAGGTTGAATAACAGCCCTTAATAAGCCCTTTTTCTATATTCTTGTGGATTAAATAAATACTCTTTGAAATGCATTCAAGTCAATAATTTTACTAGTTAATTATGTGCTTATATGAAGATGTATTGCTTTTATCTGTTCTATTTCTGTTCAATAAGTTTTACTGGATGATCCTTAGTCCTTATGTTCTGAAAAGGAATTTGTTTCTATTTTTTCCAAAGTATGGTTTTATACTCAATTATATCTTTTCCACCTTTTTTCAATGATAAATGGTCCTCAAAGTTCTATCATTTTCTCACAGGGAAGGTGTTCAAATAATTTTTCTTGTCCTTATCTGCATTTTTCCCAGCTCCAGCTATTTTTCTACAGTTGGCAACCAGAATTACAGATATGGACATATCTTAAATTTGGAGAATCTGATCATGTTTATTTTCCATCTTTGCTTTAATGATTTGTGTTTTCCCAAATTCTGCATACTGAGCTCATATCATCACTGAACTAACCAAGATATTTTTTCTCACTAATTTCTTGATTCAAATGTGAACTTGAAGGGTGGAGGCAGATGTTGACTTAATGTGCATCTGTTTACACTTAGTTCAGCTAACCACATTCATTATTTACCTGATCAGTTTTATTCATCAACTTTAAAGAGCTCTTTGCAATCATTTATGGCTTACCATCTAGAATAAATTGGTAGCATGTGGAAACCTGGCCTTGCTTACCCAACTAAAATCCTTGAAGGACTATATTTCTTACTTTCCTCCATTCAAGAAAACTCCTGTTTATTTCTACTTTTTTTTAATAGGCCATTAAAAAATCTTATCACACAACCATTAAAGAGATTTTGATGAGGAACTATGTCAAACGCTTTCAGAAAACCCCAATATATAGTGATAACTAAGTCAGCTCTATCCACATGCCTCTTGACACTCATGTTCCTCTATGAGTTTGGTGACTATTTGATTACCATGTCTACCAATTTGCCGGGAACAAACTTCATTCATTCATTCATTCATTCATTCATTCATTCATTTTCTATGACTGCCCATCACAATTCATTACTCTGAAGCTGATATCTGGGATTCTTATGCATCTCCCCAAATCTCTGTCAACTCTGCAACAAACCTGAATGAAACCATTTGGCTCATTTTCAGTTGCCATTAGAATGGGAGAGTGGTGGTGGAATTTTTCTGCTAGCTTAAACGATTCTCTGTCCTGTGGGAACCAAGGTCATTTCTGTTTGTTAGACTGGGAGGCTGAGTTTTCTGTTAGAAAGCCCCCCAAACTGTTCTATCGGGAAATGTAGTTCACTGCATAGTAATGGGGTGGGAAGTTTAACTTTGTATACTGTAACTTTTTGGAGGGAACTTTAGTCTTGGTTTCACTTTTGACAGTGCGTATACTTTGTAGCCAACATATTCTTAAAAGAAACCTCAAGCCACAGAGTTCTGTTTCAGTTGGTCTCATCTATTGGAACCATGACGTTCTCTTTCTAAAATTAGCATCATATTGTCTACTTTCCAATCCTCTGGCACTGATTTTGATTTGAAGGTCATTATTTTCTTTTGCCTTAAATGCCCATTTGACATGTAAGAATTTTAGAGTGGCTGGCATCAGGACCTGATGATATGTTGCTATCTCCTAGAACAGTGGTTCTCAACGTTTGTGTGACGGGGATCCCCGTCACACAAACGTGCTGCGCATGCGCAGCGGCGCCGCCCCGAGGGGGGAAAATGGCGGATCGCCTTGTTTGGCGACTCCCGTAAAATGGTCGATCGACCCCAAATGGGGTCGCGACCCATAGGTTGAGAACCGCTGTCCTAGAATATCCTGTATTGTTAACCCAATTTGCTTTAGCTGCTTTAGTTCTCCCCCTCATTCCCACCCTTGAAAGTCAAACCCAGCTTGGGTTACCCATCTTATGTCTTCTGTAGTAATGAAAGGTACAAAAAAAAATCATTCAGTTTCCCTGCAATTTCAGTATTTTTCTTGATTCAATATTTTTATTCTTTTGTTATCTCATGGCATTCACTTTGTTAACTGGTTTTCCTTTCAGTCTTTTTTATTAACTCCCTCATTTTTCAGGAATTTCTGTTTTTGTAATCAGATTTGGCTGTGCTGGACCTGCAGATAATTTTCAGGTATAGTAAACTTAACAGTATTCATTCTAGCAGTACCAACTCTATCTCCAGTAGTACTCAATGACTTCTATGAGACATTCGGCTTTCTCTACTATCCTCTTTTTAAACTTATTGTAATTGTTTACATTTGCACTTTTAAGAATTTCATATTTTGGAATTGAGCTCCTTTTTCCAATAGCTTTTTTTGCTGTGGAATTCTATTTATCACTGCTTTGAATTTATCTTTTATACTCAGTTCTGGTTATTTTGATTTCCTCAATTAAGTCTTTCTTATTGGCTAGTATCAAGGACTGCTCATTCTTTTTTGCTTTTCTCTACTTACCAAAGAAGAAAGTCATCAGGAAATTTTTATGCTTTGATAATTTTATCTGCTTTCTTCTGTGGTTTTCCAGATGTATCATTTTTCAAATTCAGTGACCAAAACTGTACCAGTACTCTAAATGCTGATATTCTATAGATTTATATAAATACAATACAATAAACTTGGTGGTTTTCTTTTTAATCCCTTTCTTAATAATCCCTGCTGAGTTAAATACCTTCTTTGAGTTCGATTCATTAGAGTTTCCACTTTTGTAGTCAAATGTGACTGTGCTGGACCCTGAAGTAGTTTTCTATTTGTGTGCATGTTTAACCTAATAGTATTACTTCAAGTAGCATCAACTATGCTTCCAGCACC